GAGGTCCCAAGGTGGTAATAGCAGTGATGTATAACCCACCACAGAACAGCAGGAGGCCAAGGCAAGAGTACGACGAGAGCAATAGAGCGATGGTTGACACACTGGCTAGAGTGGCCAGAAGAGCTCATGCATGCAGGGCAAAGCTCCTGATCATAGGTGACTTTAACCACAAGGAGATCGATTGGGAGAACTTGGACCCACATGGGGGCCAAGATACATGGAGGGCTAAGATGATGGAGGTGGTACTGGAGAACTTCATGTACCAACACGTAAGGGACACTACAAGAGAGAGAGGAGAGGATGAACCAGCAAGGCTGGACTTAGTATTCACCTTCAGTAGTGCAGATATCGAGGACATCACATATGAAAGACCCCTTGGGGCCAGTGCCCATGTGGTTTTAAGCTTCGAATACACAGTAGAGCTACAAGTGGAGGGAGAAGCAGGAAGGCCAGGACGAATGAAGCCAAACTACAAGAAAGGGGACTACACAGGAATGAGGAACTACCTGAACGGGGTTCAGTGGGACAGAGAACTGGCAGGGAAGCCAGTTAATGAGATGATGGAATATGTAGCAACAAAATGCAAGGAGGCTGAGGAGAGGTTTGTACCCAAGGGTAACAGGAGTAATGAAAAAGCCAGGATGAGCCCATGGTTTACCCAAAGGTGCAGGGAGGCAAAAACCAAGTGTGCTAGGGAATGGAAGAAATATAGAAGGCAAAGGACCCAGGAGAATAAGGAGAACAGTCGTAGAGCAGAAACGAATATGCACAGATAAGAAGGGAGGCCCAAAGACAATATGAAAATGACATAGCAGCGAAAGCCAAATCTGACCCGAAACTGTTGTACAGCCACATCAGGAGGAAAACAACAGTCAATGACCAGGTAATCAGGCTAAGGAAGGAAGGAGGAGAGACAACAGGAAATGACCGTGAAGTATGTGAAGAACTCAACAAGAGATTCAAAGAAGTGTTCACAGAGGAGACAGAAGGGACTCCAGAAAGACGGAGAGGTGGGCACACCACCAAGTGCTGGACACGTGCACACAACCGAGGAAGAAGTGAAGAGGCTTCTGAGTGAGCTAGATACCTCAAAGGCAATGGGGCAGATAACATCTCCCCATGGGTATTGAGAGAGGGAGCAGAGGCGCTATGTGTACCCCTAACAACAATATTCAATACATCTATCGAAACAGGGAGATTGCCTGAGGCATGGAAGACAGCAAATGTAGTCCCAATCTTTAAAAAAGGAGACAGACATGAAGCATTAAACTACAGACCAGTGTCACTGACATGTATAGTATGCAAAATCATGGAGAAGATTATCAGGAGAAGAGTGGTGGAACACCTAGAAAGGAATGATCTCATCAACAGCAGCCAGCATGGTTTCAGGGACGGGAAATCCTGTGTCACAAACCTACTGGAGTTCTATGACATGGTGACAGCAGTAAGACAAGAGAGAGAGGGGTGGGTGGATTGCATTTTCTTGGACTGCAAGAAGGCGTTTGACACAGTTCCACACAAGAGATTGGTGCAAAAACTGGAGGCCCAAGCGGGGATAACAGGGAAGGCACTACAATGGATCAGGGAATACTTGTCAGGAAGACAGCAGCGAGTCATGGTACGTGGCGAGGTGTCAGAGTGGGCACCTGTGACCAGCGGGGTCCCGCAGGGGTCAGTCCTAGGACCAGTGCTGTTTCTGGTATTTGTGAACGACATGACGGAAGGAATAGACTCTGAGGTGTCCCTGTTTGCAGATGACGTGAAGTTGATGAGAAGAATACACTCGATCGAAGACCAGGCAGAACTACAAAGGGATCTGGACAGGCTGCAGACCTGGTCCAGCAATTGGCTCCTGGAGTTCAATCCCACCAAGTGCAAAGTCATGAAGATTGGGGAAGGGCAAAGAAGGCCGCGACGGAGTACAGTCTAGGGGGTCAGAGACTAAAAACCTCACTCAAGGAAAAGATCTTGGGGTGATTATAACACCAGGCACATCTCCTGAAGCGCACATCAACCAAATAACTGCTGCAGCATATGGGCGCCTAGCAAACCTCAGAACAGCTTTCCCGACATCTTAATAAGGAATCGTTCAGGACCTGTACACCGTATACGTTAGGCCCATATTGGAGTATGCGGCACCAGTTTGGAACCCACACCTAGCCAAGCACGTAAAGAAACTAGAGAAAGTGCAAAGGTTTGCAACAAGACTAGTCCCAGAGCTAAGAGGTATGTCCTACGAGGAGAGGTTAAGGGAAATCAACCTGACGACACTGGAGGACAGGAGAGATAGGGGGGACATGATAACGACATACAAAATACTGAGAGGAATTGACAAGGTGGACAAAGACAGGATGTTCCAGAGATTGGACACAGTAACAAGGGGACACAGTTGGAAGCTGAAGACACAGATGAATCAACAGGGATGTTAGGAAGTATTTCTTCAGCCACAGAGTAGTCAGTAAGTGGAATAGTTTGGGAAGCGATGTAGTGGAGGCAGGATCCATACATAGCTTTAAGCAGAGGTATGATAAAGCTCACGGCTCAGGGAGAGTGACTAGTAGCGATCAGTGAAGAGGCGGGGCCAGGAGCTGGGACTCGACCCCCGCAACCTAAATAGGTGAGAAAAAATAGGTGAGTACACCACACACACACACACTTTTGTTCCCTCCCCCATGGAGCAGGGAGAGAGAGGGATCTGGTAGCGACCAGTAAAGGGCGGGCAGGAGCTGAGTCTCGACCCGAAACCACAATTATGTGATTTTTAAATTAGGTGAGTACAACACACACACACACCAACAAAGCGGCAGCAAGGAGGCTAAAGGTAGGGGAGATGTGTTCCAAGGACAATGTGTGGTTTAAATATTTACGGGAATTTGTAGTGTGGGAAAATAGGGGAAAGGGGGATTAATAAAAGTATTATCAGGGTTTTTAGGGGGGTTGTTGACGTGGTTTGGTCATTTTTGAGGGATGGGGCAAAACAAATATTGGAGGCGATAGGGTAATTTAAAACTGTAGTGGGGGGACGGGGGAAAAGTAGGTTGCCTAGGAAAGGATGGAGGGGGAGGTAAAAAGGTTTTTTGTGAAAGGGCTTGGACTTACAGAGGCATTTTGATCTGTTAGATAGAATGGTGGAGAAATAGTTTTTGGGACTTGACGAGCTGTTGCAGTTGGGCGGGTAAAATTTTTTGAAAGGGGTTAGGGAAATTAGTTAAAACCCGGGCTTGAGTCCCGGGGTGGGAGTCAGTGCCCACCTTTAAAGGGGGGAGTTTGGGAATGGCATTTTAGAGGGTCGTCTAAACTGTCGTATCTGAGCGCCTCTGCAAAGACAGTGATTATGTATGAGTGCTAGTGAAAGTGTTGAATAATGATGAAAGTTTTTTTCTTTCTTTTTCGGGTCACCCTGCCTCGGTGAGAAGCTGCCGGCGTGTTTATATACATACATACATATATATATATATATATATATATATATATATATATATATATATATATATATATATATATATATATATATATATAGTATATATATATAGAGGGTGTGTAGAAGAGAGGGAGAATACTTCCCGGAAAAATAGGTCTTAGACAGGGATGTGTAATGTCACCATGGTTGTTTAATATATTTATAGATGGGGTTGTAAAAGAAGTAAATGCTAGGGTGTTCGGGAGAGGGGTGGGATTACATTATGAGGAATCAAATTCAAAATGGGAATTGACACAGTTACTTTTTGCTGATGATACTGTGCTTATGGGAGATTCTAAAGAAAAATTGCAAAGGTTAGTGGATGAGTTTGAGAATGTGTGTAAAGGTAGAAAGTTGAAAGTGAACATAGAAAAGAGTAAGGTGATGAGGGTATCAAATGATTTAGATAAAGAAAAATTGGATATCAAATTGGGGAGGAGGAGTATGGAAGAAGTGAATGTTTTCAGATACTTGGGAGTTGACGTGTCGGCGGATGGATTTATGAAGGATGAGGTTAATCATAGAATTGATGAGGGAAGAAAGGTGAGTGGTGCGTTGAGGTATATGTGGAGTCAAAAAACGTTATCTATGGAGGCAAAGAAGGGAATGTATGAAAGTATAGTAGTACAACACTCTTATATGGATGTGAAGCTTGGGTGGTAAATGCAGCAGCGAGGAGACGGTTGGAGGCAGTGGAGATGTCCTGTCTAAGGGCAATGTGCGGTGTAAATATTATGCAGAAAATTCGGAGCGTGGAAATTAGGAGAAGGTGTGGAGTTAATAAAAGCATTAGTCAGAGGGCAGAAGAGGGGTTGTTGAGGTGGTTTGGTCATTTAGAGAGAATGGATCAAAGTAGAATGACATGGAAAGCATATAAATCTATAGGGAAAGGAAGGCGAGGTAGGGGGTCGTCCTCGAAAGGGTTGGAAAGAGGGGGTAAAGGACGTTTTGTGGGCGAGGGGCTTGAACTTCCAGCAAGCGTGCATGAACGTGTTAGATAGGAGTGAATGGAGACGAATGATACTTGGGACCTGACGATCTGTTGGAGTGTGAGCAGGGTAATATTTAGTGAAGGGGTTCAGGGAAACCGGTTATTTCATATAGTCGGACTTGAGTCCTGGAAATGGGAAGTACAATGCCTGCACTTTAAAGGAGGGGTTTGGTATATTGGCAGTTTGGAGGGATATGTTGTGTATCTTTATACGTATATGCTTCTAAACTGTTGTATTCTGAGCACCTCTGCAAAAGCAGTGATAATGTGTGAGTGTGGTGAAAGTGTTGAATGATGATGAAAGTATTTTCTTTTTGGGATTTTCTTTCTTTTTTGGGTCACCCTGCCTCGGTGGGAGACGGGCCCGACTTGTTAAATATATATATATATATATAATATATATATATATATATATATATATATATATATATATATATATATATATATATATATATATATATATATATATATATATATATATAACATCATTTATACATATTTTAAAGAATTTGTGGTTAAGTGAGCAGTGTGTGACAGTAGTTACTTCAGCAGCATGGTGGTGACGCGGATAGCTGGCGCAGCAGTGGTGGACTTGGTCCTGGACGTCCTCAACCCCACCAGGAGGACACTGCTATATTCTTCAGGGACGGACGCCGCAGGATCGACTATGTGCTTGTGTACGAGGACTCTGGAGGCGCGAGTCGCAGGGGCTGCGAGGAACGCGATAAAACCCTCAACAGGACACAATCCACCAGCGAGAAGAGAGCCTTGAAGCACGAGTCTTGGAGAGAAAGGTTATGAACTCACTGGTAAGAGAAAGGTGGGTTGGACAGTGGGGTTTTTCCCGGGGGAAATGTGGGTTTTTTAAAAAAAAAGGGGGCGGGAAATTGGGAGGGGGGGAAAAAAAGAAAGCGGGGGAAAAAGGGGGACTTGGGTTTGGCTTTTCAAATTAAAAAGGGAGGGACAGGGAATATATTCTTAGGGGAAAGGGAGGGGGGGCCGCGGACGAAAGGGTTTGGGGGGGGAAAGGACTTTTGGGGCCAGGGCGAATGGGAAAAGGGGTGCAAAACGGTTAAAATAAAGGAACAATTTCCCCCGGGACCGAAAAAGGGGGTTTAAAGCAGGGAAATTTTGGGAAGGGGGGAAAGGTTTTTTTAAAACTACTTTAAAGGGCAAAAGGGAATACAATGGAAAAGGGGGGTTTTTGGGGAAGGGGGGGGGAAGGGAAAATAGAAAAGGGAAGAAGGAAAAGCGGGAAAAAGTGGGAGGGGAGGAAAGGGAAAAAGGAAAGAAGGGATTTTTTTCTTTTTGGGGTAACCCTGTTGGGGGGAGAATTTCCAAACTTTGTCTAATATTTTTAATATTTCTTTAATTTTTAAAAATAAAATTTAACATTTCCTTATTAATTAAAAATTTTTTTTTTAATTTTATAAAACCCATATTTATTCCTTTTGAATTTGGGTTAAGGGGAGCAGGGGGACAAATTATTCAGGAAACATGGTTAAGGGACGGGGAAGTTGGGGCGGGAAATGGGGGCCTTTTTTGGGCCCTCCTAAACCCCCCGGGGGGCACTCTTTTTCCCTTCCCCCCCCCCCTTTTTTTTTTTTTTTTTTTTTTACAGGGTTTGGGACCGGGGATCCCTCCCAAAACCGCTTTTTAAAAAACCCAATTTTAAGGCAACCCAAAGCGGAAAAACCCCCCTTTTTTAAAAGAAATTTTTTTGGATAGAAAAATTTGGGGGGAACCCAGGTAAAGGGAGCCTCGGGGGAAGATTTTTTTTGGGGGACAACGTTTTAATTTTTGAAAATGGAGAAGGGCCCGGAAAAAAATTGGGAAGATGGAAAAAAGGGGGGTGGGGGGGGGAAAAAAAAATTCCACCCAAAAAATTAAGTTTTTTGTTTTGCACCCCCCTTTGTCATAAATTTTTCCCTTTCCCTCGAAGTTTTTCCAAAGTTTGGAAAAATTTTTAAAAATTTCCTTTTTTACTTTTAAATTTTTTTGGAAATTTATTTAAAAGGTAGCTAAATAAGGATTTTCCCCGGAAATTGGGGTCAGGGAGGGGTAAAATGATTTCGGGCCTGCCTCTATCTTGGGGGCCGGTTGGCAGTTGGGAGGGGGGGGAAAAAAACCCCCAAAAGGGGTAATTTGGTCTAACGTCTTTTCTCTCTCTTTCCCTACTTTTTTTTTTTTTTTCAACATTTTGGAACCGGGTTTAAAGGTTCCCTCCTTTTTGAAGAATTTTACAAATGGTTCCCTAATTTATTTGGAATCAAATTTTCCCACCCCAAAGGAAACAATTTTTCTCCAAAAAGGGGGGAAAAATAATTTCCCTTTCATCCCTTTTTTTTTGAAAACCATTTTCCCCCTTCTTGGTGCCCTAGAGAGACGTTTTAAAAAATCATTTGGTTTTTCTAAAGGTAAAATGTTGGGGGAAATTACCCCAAGTGAATTGCTTTTTCCTCCCCGGTTTTTTTTGGCAAAAAAGGGGTTTGGATTTTCTTCCCGGGGTTAAGTAAATTAAATTGTAAGTTTTTGAAAATTTTGGCCTTAAAACTAAAGTAAGGGAAACCCCCTTTTTTAGTGCTTCAATTTAACAGAAACCGGGAGGTTCCGGGGAAATGGCCCCTTGGTTGTTTCTATTTCCTTTCCTTTGGGGGGGGGACACAAACACCAAAAAAGGGAATCACTGTGGGGACTGGGCCGTAAGGATTTGGGCCCCAAGGGCGGGATGGGAAAATTTGGGAAAGGCCCTGGTTTCCTAAACCGGGTTTGAAAAAATTTCCAGGGGGTTCTTCTGTTAGGGGGTCAAAACCCCCAAGAGGAAAAAAAGGGGGTCCCAACCCATTTCCTCAACTCTGCAGGGGGCCCGGGCCAAGGCGACAAGGGAGGGGCCGGACCCCCAACCCCCGGGGGGTTGCCTGGGGCGGGGGGAGAAATTTGGAGGCATGGGATTTTTTGGGGATGGGGGGTGGGCAGGAAATGGGGGCGCAGGCAGGGGGGTTTGGGGGGGGGCCCGGGGGGCATTAAAAGGGGGGGGGGGCCCCAACGACCCGGGGAAAGGGGGGGAATGGGGGGCGGGCCCCCCGGGGCCGGGGGGGGCAATGGGGAACCGGGGGGGGGGGAAAAGGGGCCCGGGGGAAACCCCTGGGGGGAAAGGGGGCCCGGGGACCCCCGGGGGGGGGCCAAACCGGCAGTGTCCCCCTTTGGATTATCCAGTGACTGGTCCCAAACTTATGGAGGGGTTTTTTAAAAAACAGATCCAGAGAGTAACCTTTCCTAAAAAGCCAAAATTGGGACGATAACAAAGTGGGTGAGGGTAGTAAAAAAACCCCTGCCTTTGTCTTGAGTTTTATTGTCTCAAGGATCTTACCAGTAAATTGACAGGAGTGAAAATTGGTCTGTAGTTGCTGTTTTTCTCCCTTCTGCTCTTTTTTTTTGTGAACGGGGACTATTTTTTGCCTTTTTCCCTAAGGGGGCCATTTAAACTTTACAGGAGTGTTTGGAAAGATGCGATTTTAAGAGGGGCTGCTACTGGCCCTGCACATCTTCTAAACCAATCGGGGCTCAAATTGTCTGGGCCCACAGCCTTTTCGGGTCAAGCGTTTTTTAAAAGGAAATGAAACCTCCTCCTGCCTTATTGCCCCCTTTGACGTTTTGACCCCTTTCCCTACAGCTACCCAAAAGGGGGGCCCCTTTGGGCTGGATAAAGGAAAACTTGCTTTTTGGGTAGCAAAGTTTTCAAAAAGGGGGTCCCCCCTTCTCTTGACTATTTGTAAAGGTGGTCCCATCCTGTCGTTTTAGGGGTGGAATAAGTTAATCGGGCCCAATAACCTTGTCTGTCCTTGACCGGGGGACCACCGGGTTTTTTTTGGACCCTCCCTTTCCCGTTTGCAAACTTTTTTTTTAGTGCCCCACCTCCCATTTAGCAATGGCCCACTTTTGAACATACCCATTTTGCCTCAGGTTTGCATGTGCAAGTTCCGGGTTTAGGTGGTGGGATGTCTTTTAAAACCTTCCCCATGTTTTTGTCCCTTACAGTAGAAAGCCTTCTACAACGAATCCCAAAACCCAAGGCTGATTGTAGGTTTCGTCACATATTCCCTTTGGAGGAATGTGTTCTTTTTGTAGATTAAGGATGGGCCCCGGGTTCAAAAGGCTTTCATTTGGGGTTTGTCAACACCCCCTTGGGAGGGAGCATTCCGGGTCGGGGGGTGGAAAAAGCTCAGAGCAAAGGGTTTGGCCCAAAATTACCTTTTCCCCTTTACCAAAGGGTTGTGCGTGTGGACCCTCCCCTTTCTTTCTTTTGGGGGATCTTAAGTGGGGTAAAAACACCCCTTTGGTCAGACGACCCAACCTTTTACCGAGGGGTTGACAAGTGACTATCCCTTCTCCAGATCACTCACAAAACTGGGCCCAAGGGAGGAGCCAGAGATAGGGAGTGGGGAAAAATCAAAAAAGTTTCTCATGCCCAAACATTTGCAAAGGAAAGGTCTTTCAAACCCCTCTGTAAAAGGGTGCGGTTGAGGCCCCAAAAAATTTAAATAATTTTTTAAACAATTGTGTTGTAGCAGAAGGGAGTCAAAAATTTTCCTTTAGGACTTGAAGGGCCCCTGCATGTTGCCACTGAGGTCTGACTTTTGCCCATCCCTATTTACAGGGGCTAGTGTTTTAATTTTGGTTTGGGAAGAACATCATTTCAAGAAGTGTAGGGATGGCAACACATGTGCTGGGAAATGAACACTTTTAGAAAAGCAACGGGCAACACCTCCTCCTTCCCCTTGCCTGTCCTTCTTCATCTCTCTCTCCCCCCTTCTCTCTCTTCTCTCTCCCTCCTCTCTCTCTTCTCTCTCTTCTCCTCTCTCTCTCTCCTCTCTCTCTCTCCCCCTTTCCCCTCTGTGTTGTTTGTACTTACATATTTTTTTTTTCACATGACTTAAATCAAAAGGGGTTCTACATCAGCCATTTCTTTTTTGTGTGTTTTCTCTTCCACTTTTTAAATTTGTTTCTTTGTTCATTTATTTTTCAGTATATATTACAGTTGCTCCCTGAATCGAAAAATTTGGTTCCCTTTCCTTCTGCTCTGTGTTTTCGAAGGGTTAGGAAAAGATCCCCTTTTTATATTCTACCGGGCAGAGAAGCTTGAATTACTTTTGTTTTTCTGACGGCTTTAGGAGTCAAACTCTAGAAATTTTAAAAAACAAAGTTGCCTCCTTAAATTCTTCCTGCCTATAAAGGGCTGTATCCTCAGTCTCCCTAATTTTAAAACTGGGGGGGGAAAAGTTTTTTTCCAAATACTCCTGCATTTACAACTCGCTTGGAACCCCTTTTTCATACCTTGTAGCCCCTAACCGACGGGTTGAACCCTTTTACAATTTCTGTAGTTTTTTCTGACTGAATGGCCGTGAATATTTTTTTTGAGCCGAAAAACCCTTTTGAGGGGCGGACGACGGATGTGCTAAAAAAAACCCGTATATCTAGGTTATTGGTACTGTTTTGCCTCTGTGTAAAACATCAAATGGGGGTCTTCAAGAATGAGATAAAAGGGGGACTCGCGTATTTTTTAAAGCTCTTTTCTCCACCTGCCCTTTTAGTTTAACGGTGATTGATTTTTGGTCAAAAAGAACCAAAACCCGGCTGTCTGAAGTTTCCCCCCTAAGGGTGGATTAGCACCGAATTTATTTTGTTTAAATTGATTGTAATGCCAATTTACCGGTTTGAAACCTGTAACCAAGCGGGCTGAAATGATCATTGCTTTTGAATTTTTAAGAAAAAAAGACCAAAGCTTTTCCCTGCAGCT